CTCCTTTTGAGCTTTGCCGGTCGGCAGCTTAATTTCAAGTCAGGTCGGGTCGTTAATTCCACTATTTTCGGGTGACCTCGGGTGACCTCGCTATAAATTGGCCACAATGATGCTAACAATTGTAACAGGCCACGGTTAGCAAGGGCACTTTGGATGGCTGGAAACGGGTATCCTAAACTCCGCATGCCCGGACAGCTACGTCCGCAGCTCCCGGTGACACGACAGACACTGCGGGGAGCACGGCGGTGCATTATCTGAGCTGGCAAGTGGCAGGAACGGGGTGTTTCATGGTTATCCCGTACGAGATTCTGAGCACCCTTCTCGTCACACCGCTGCTTGTCCTTATAACTGCTAGCTGAGGGTTGCTGCCCAGACCTGCCATTGCGTATGTACAACGGTAACCAGGCAACGGTTGCTTCATCGCCCGACCCACCGTGCAGACCGAATCATCATTCGGGCCAAGGGTCTCTGGCTTTCCGGATTGGATGGAATCAGTTGCGGTGGCTTTCAAGGACTGTGGCTTTTTCTGAAAAGCCTCGAAGTACTATGACTCTGCCAAGACTCGCACCCACCGACATCCGTTAAGCTTCGAGATTTTGCAGCTTAACAAAATCACTCTTCGACTCAACGACTTGGCTAGCAGTTTACGAAGGTACGACATCCTCCTCGACTTCCCAGTCCATTGTGCGCATTCTGCGTGCCCGGAGCATAAGGCTGAGCTCAAATCTGCAGAAGAAAGCCCTCGAAGATCGATCAGCTGTACTCCGCTACACAGATCGATTTCTAGAAACTCTACCTTACGCACCATGAGACTGTAACTGTACGTAAATGACAAACTTCGTCGCAACGCTTCAAGGTCGTCATAGTTTCGGCCGGAGTCGGGGAACGAGGAAGAATGTGCAGTTCTGCTGCTCTTTCATTCTTGTGCCTCTTCAATCGATTAGTCTAAGTAGCATCTGCTCTTTCGTATACTAACTAACGTGCTTCGACGCCAAGAGTCCCACAGCTTGTTCCTTTCA